TGTTGCACACACACACACACACACACACACACACGCAAACACACCATGTGCAATATCCCACTACCTCATAAAATAAATTGGCCACCGACCGAAGACGGCAAGATTCCGATTACCTCTGGTGAGAAGTCGACTCCAGCAATTATTGTTACAAAATGTTCCAAGAAGCTGCTCAGATATGTCACATTAGAACATGGCCTCCTCTTTCAGGCCGTCTGATTTCGAATGTATTTGCGAATCAACGGAAGAAAATATTTAGTTCGCATATAGCAGCGTAATTTAGGCAAAAAAAAAAAAAAGAGTTCTTGGGTTTTCACAAGGACATCAGTAACCCTCTTGTAATTAACCTTGTTCAAAAATTAACCACATGTTATTATCAAACCAAGCAAATAATTGAAGCAGCAGCTTAATTTATAATTTGACAATTTCATACCTCTTTTTTTTCCCCCTACCGTCTTTCATGTATTGCTTCATTAGATGAAGAGGAAATTGAGAGAAACATTTACCAGTGTTGATTTTTAATGAACATTTGGCTCTCTGAAAATATTTAATATGGTACTTTTGGCCCTTTTTTTTCTGCAGAAATCTTCTTTCCTCCTTTTGTAAGGGGGGGGAGTGCATCAACTTGGGCTTCCCACTACAAAGGCAGAACCCAACAGGGAATAGTATGGAGATTTGGCCCTTGTTGAACACAACCAGTCTTATGTATAGGCTGCATACACCACCTTGGTCTGTATGTCAAGACTCCTCTAAAGAAGAGGATTCAGGATGTGTGGTGAGAGGATTAGATGGAAGAATCCAAATCCTCTATGGAGAGATATTTTAAGACTGTCCGTTGGGGCAGTTTTGGTGCTGCCCACTTGGATACGTTTAAAGAAAAAGTGAGCTTCCCTGCACGAAGTGGTATGACAAAGGTTTGATAAATGCGGTGACGAAAGTTCTGAAATGCGAGGTATCGTAGTAAAAACATTAATGGTAAAAGAAAACCTGACACAGAGAACTTAAAGGATCAAAAAAATAATACAATTTAAAAAGCAATATGTCATGCAATATTAATGGGCTTAAATTGTAAATTACTGAAAATCAATTTGGTCATCATTCAGGTTTGAAAGTTGTAGGATAAACTCAGTTAAATACATGAAAATAAATACTACTGTTATAGGACATTTTTGTGCGTTTTTTTATATAAAAGTGATTAATTCAAAACAAATAGGAACTTAATGTGGAATTGTTTTTACTATATATATATATATATATATATATATATATGTAGATGTATATATATGTAGATGTATGTATATGTATATATATGTAGATATATATGTATAGATATATATGTAGATATATATATGTAGATATATATATGTAGATATATGTGTATGTATATATATATATATATGTGTGTATGCGTGGGTGTGTACATTTAATTCAAAACTAGTTTGGATTTTTGTTTTAAAGTGCTAGGCTAAGCCTAGCAATTTTACTATGTTGTGATGTGACTCAATGATGATTAAATGACGCGTCAGGTTAAAGGTGTACAGAAACTACTTGCACAAAGTTCTTCTCCTGCTTCTTAAACTTTAAGTTTTTTTTTGTTTTTTTTTTTGAATGCCATAAAATTTGATGAGTGGTGTTTCAGCTGCTCTCTGCGTCAGCAGCCGTCTGGGTGGTGCACTGCAGCTCACGACTCGGAAAGGGAACTGAAGCAGCCGATTTAGTGTTGCTTTCACTTCAAAAACCATCCTAAACAATGAAAAGATTTGGATTATGATGGAAGATTTGTTAGATCTATCTATTTAAGAATTAGCTTAATTCGCAGTTAGCGCACACAAAGAATTGGACTTAAGCTCCACTTTGCTCTGTGTCACATTCCTGTAGGCCAAACGCACAAAAAGTGGTAATTTAAAAAACAAAAGAGGAAACTGCAGCTGAGAAGTTTGAAAGATTTGAGCGAAATCAAATATTGATAATTTAAATATGCATCTATTAGGGTTCTGATCCAATCCTACATTTAGGACCAATAGTGTAAAGGCAATATGGAATGATTAAAATGAGTGCACAAATTTGAATCAAATGACATTTGTAGGATTCCTGTGTTATCTTTTTTACACAAACATAGTTTATCACATTCTTTAGGTGACAAAGACTGTGTCCTGTCTCCAAAGCAGCTGCGTTAGTTTTTGCAAATGAACAGAATAATGTCCAGGTCCAATGAAACTGCTTAAATAGTCATGATCCCCCAAAGCTGGGAGTTCAGAAAGGTGTCCATATCTTTCAAACTATTTCCAGCTCAGCATTTCATTACCTGAACTATGAATTGATGTATAAAGTGTGGGCTTGACCTGTAGTTGATCCCCATTCAGATGTGACATGCCATGAAGCCCCTTTCTCCCCCCAATCCCTCAGAGAGGAGGAGTGGCTGTCTGCCAAAACTGCCTCATCATTGACCTCAACCGTCTGCCACCGCGAATCTTCAGGACAGATGTTTAACTGCCATACAAAACTCCATGGCTCACTGCCTATTCAATCACTCATGTGACAGTTAACAGCCCACAGTGGCTAATGATTTTCTGTCATGTTCGGGCCGTGCTGCGGAACAGGAGTATTAAATATCGGCCGACGATGGACACATCAACTACTACAATGGCCCCTTGTTCATCACCTCAACTTCAGCGTGCCCTGTTTTTATCACTCAGTGAAAGCGGAGTGTATCGCCCAAGCATGTGCTGCTCAAGTTGAGGAACTTCATCATGCTGCTGTCGGCTCCCCAGTACTGTAAGCCTCGTGGAAATGCGCAAAGTTTTCAAGAAGACCAATCCAAAAAAAGAATGTCAGGCTGGTTTGTCTTTATGATTCTTCTGGCTTAGGCAAAGAGAGATTGAAAATGTTGTCAATTGCAGCTTGCCAGAATAATGAAGCAAAAGTCTTGTCACTATTATTCTGATGTTTCTTTTTTTTTCTGCTATAGGGAATATTCCCCTTTGATTTCTTTTCTTGATTTTTGCCAGAAAAATATCCTCAACTTCTTCTTTTTGTGCTTATCTTGCAGTTCTACCCCTTTCCCAGGAATGTCAGTTGTCTGTGTGTACACACGGATTTTTGAAGTTTCAGGCCACCGGCTCTCTCACTTCCCAGGGCCAGCCTCGGTTCAGTCGTGTTTTGTGTCAGAACACGCATCTTATATTCATTCCAGACTCCTTCCTGGACTCACTTCCTCAACACATCAACATTGTTTGCCGGACGAGCATCTGTGGCCGGAGTTGTGCGAAAACTTTGGAGTATTTATTATTCAAAGGCCTTGCTCCCGGTGCTGTGTTAGTAAAAAGGAAAAGGGATACAGCACTGACACACAGTGTCACTAACAGGGAGAGCTTCAAAATCCCACAGTCGACTTCCCCTCTATTATTTGTTCCAGTCCAGGAAGGCTGAGGCGAGATCACATGGGAGCAGAGCTCGGCGTGCGAGTGTGTCTATATGCTTGACGTCTGTGCAATAGTTCCTGTGTGAGGGTTTGTCATGCTCGTGTATGTATATTTATGTCAGCAGGCCGAGCAGGAGTTGGCATGCTCTCATTTTTATTTTAAAGTCAACCGCTTGCATGTTTATTTCTGTGTAGCTCACCTATTCAGCACTGTGAAAAGGTGAATGAAGGCTCACTGATTGGTTGGCTCTCGCCTCCTTTCACATTCTGTCAAACATTAATCGTCAGACCGCAAGCTGGAATTTTATTGGGATTTAATGTGATACGGCAATGTAAATATCATTAGGAAGTGGAAAGAAAGTTGCATGTTGCTTTTTGATCTCATGGCAACTAAAAGCTTTGAATATTGCGGTGTACTTTTGCATTCTTCTTGGCAAACTAGCTCAAACTCAGTGAGATTGGACGGAAAGTTTTTCTAAGCAGACCTTTTCTAGCCTTTCCTCAGATTTTTAATCGGATTTAAGTCTTTACTTGGACTGGGTCATTCCAGGACATCAGTATTCTTTCATCTCAACCATTTAGCTGTGGCCTTTCCTCCTTACTTAGGACCATTGTACTGCTACAAGACGAACTTGGTCTCAAAACTTTGTGTCTCATTTAAAAGGATTTCTTCCAGGGCTGCCTTGTCTTTAGCTCTGTCCATCTCCCCACCAATTCTGACCAGATTCTCTTTCGCTGTTGAATAATGGCATCAGCATAGCATGATGCTGCCACCATCATGTGTGATTCTGGAAAAAGGTAGACAGGTTCAAAGCAGATAAATTCATTTAAAGGCCATAAAGCTCGGTTTTTGGGTCCCGTCCCATCATCTTCCACATGTGAGCTGTGTCCCCTACAGCTTACTTACAGTTTACTCTATGTTTTCTAGAATAACTATTTGGGGGAAAAGTAGTTTTACTACAAATACTTGTGTAATATGGCTATTAAGTGTCACTACTCTTACTTGTGTAAAACTTCTGGTTACAAGAAACGGACACAAATCCACTGCTTGATGAAATAAGATTTTTTGTTTGAATACTGTTGATCTGATATTAGTTTATGTCTGCTGAGACCTTTGAATTTCAAAAAGATGCAGTAAACACTCTATTTTTCCATAAGAGCCTTTTTTAACCTTCTGTATAGTTTAATGCATTTTATATTTAAAAGAAAATTGTTAAAAGTACTTTTGTCATACAGCATTTTTTCCTTTTGAGTTTCTTAGTTTGTTCTTGCATTTTGTTTGTGCATTTCTAGTTAGTTCTTAGCTTAGATTTGGCTTATTTTGTTATGTCCTTTTTAGGTTCTTTCATGTTTAGTTTACATCCTGTTTTGTTATATCAATGTTCACCAATAATCCCTTATACAATTCACCTGCAACGCCTCCTCATTCTCATGTTTAAAATGATCTGCCACTTTTTTTAGTGTTTTTTACTGTTCGATTCTCAATTTTTAATGCACTGATTCACATCTTCGTTCCATTCTGTCCCCTTTCATTGTTCCTGAGTTTAGTGTCCTCTTGTTTTTTTTGTTTTGTTTTTTGCAGCCTGTGGGGTGCAGAGCTGTAAGTATGAGCAGCATCTTGATGAGAAAATGCAGACTGACGCAACACATGCTTCAACACCAACAAAAGTACGCACCGAACACTGGACAAAAGTCGCAGTTCACTGAGGAGTGAAATTTCGAAGTCGTGGTGCTGCGTACCGGCTTGTGGTAAGCTTCAAACAGGACTTTCTTTTTGGTTTTCCTTCACCAAAGTTTTTTTTTTTTTTTCTTGTCACCCTTTTACCAAAGGCTAGATTTATGGAGTGCACGAAAAGTTTTTACCCAGTTAACAGTTTCTCACCTCTCTGCAACTCCTCTCTTTAAGTCCCTTAGGTAGACTCACAAGCAGTGTGTTGCACTGTTTTATTTAAGGGTGTCACTGAAAATGAGGCTGAACACAAATACGTCTGGGAAAACAAAAACTCTGCAAAGCTCGTAGAATTTTTATTTCACTTCAAAATTATGGGCTTCCTTTCACAAAAACTCTTAACGAAAAATGTTGAGGTTTGTGGTTGTAATGTGGCAAAAAATATTTTATGGCCTCAAGTTTTTTTAGGGGGGAAAAAACCCCCCACTGCTTTTATTGAGGCAGACAGTTTAGAAAAAGGAAAAACAAAGCTCTGCTGATTGATCTTCTTGTTGCGCGTTTGGTTATCTCTATTTACCCGAAACATTGCATTTAATCGATATAATTAATAACACTCCTATGCTAGCTCAGCCTCCCAAAGCCATAAACGCTCACACACTGATGAATCCCACACTCCTTCCCATCGCAAACAGTCATAATGAACAGCACCACATGTCTACATCCTTCAGCCTTCTCCTTTCTCCCACCGGGTAGCCTAACTTCGCAGACTTTACATGCAATATTCATGCCTTGTCGGAGAACAAGGATTCATGGTCTGGTCAGCTGAACAAAAAAAAAAAAAAGCCCTGGCAATCACCGATTGTCTCTTGTCCTTATGAAAGAGAATAATTCTTTAACATACGCCAAGACTGTTCAAAAACAGCCTTTTTTGATGAGTGACACTTCCCGTCCTCCGGATACTTTTTATGTTTCAAACTCATTAATAAAGCAGCACCCCAGGAGAGCTTGACACGGGGAAACGGTGCGTATGAGCTAGAGCGAGCGCACAAGCGTGTCTGCGTGTGTGTGCGTGTGTAAACTTTCAGTGTTTGAATTGTCAGGTGTGATTTTGAGACTCTGATCTTCACATAACAACGTTCAATCAGGCTAGTTGTAGTGCTATTTAGCATTTTCCTCTCTGACAATCTAGCTGTTTTGAGGTGGATTTTTTATATATTTTTTTCCCCCCAGAATATTAAAGGCGTCAAAGGGAAGAAGTGGAATTCCCTGCAGCGAGGTGAGACGGCCTCAAAAGAAAGACAGGGAGTGGAAATTAGAAATTACTATGCTTTATTGAAAAATTGTCCCATTATATTTTTATCCCACAAGAAAAAAAAAAAGTCACACGCAGCTTTCCGTATCTTTTACCCACTTTTGTTCTCAAATCTTTTCTGGTCAAGTAGTTAAACTGCGGTTTGCACTGTAGTTCTCACCCTATCACATACGGAAAAGATCAGTGCAAATATGCTTATCGGCCCTGTTCTTTCAACATCTGCTTCCCCGCTTTGTTATAAATATTATGAATCAAATACATGCGATTGTGTTAGAGCATTTAAATGGTAATCTTTCCCTTCCTTTTTGTGTGCACCGTGCCGGAGCGTCGGCAGTGTTTAGTCTTCTCGGGCGTCCATATTAAAGCTTAATGCACTTCTATTCTAATAAGACATGGGGATTTTGATGAATGCAATGAGCGCATGTTTTGAAATGGCACAATATGCACGGCAGCATCTTATCTTTGTAATGCAAAGAGTGCGTGTTATGAAGCCTTGAGGTAGGAGGATGTTTTCCAAGTGAGCCCCTCTCTCTCTCTGTCTCTCTCCCTCTCCCTTTTTTTTCTCTCCCAGGAAAAGCGTGCAGCACATAACCACAAACAGATGCACGCTGCCGTAAACATACACTGGGGCGATTTAGAACTGTAGGCTTTTAGTCAGCATATTAAATGTGTCAACTCATAAAGTAAAAACGCTGTAAATGTTTTCAATATTCATGTTTGCGTATTTGTCAACCTGCATTTCATAACGAATTCATGAAAAAAGCCTCTCTAACTGCACGCCGGGAGTGTGGGGGGTGCTTTGTGCAACTGCATACATTTTTGAAGAGACACATCCATTTGGTGCTCACCATGAGAGATTTGCATCACAGGCCTTTGAAAAATAAAGATAAATATTTTGTATCATGCATTTTTAAGCGCAACACCAATAAAACATAACTCCTAAGATCAGACTTATGCTGAAAGTGATTACTTGTTTAGTCTCAGAGCATCACTCATGGACTTTCATGTCACTTTGTTTAGTGAATTATTAACATAATTCCATTATTGATTGCTATAGTTGTTAGTTAAACGTTCTTTGGCAACAGCTTGTACTGAATAAATAACTGGCAGCTTCTGCATGAACTAAATCTGAGGTGTTGGAAGTGCCTGAGAGCCAAACAACTGCCACACTCTTTCCCATTTCCTTATTGTTTGGCCAGTCAAGAGTAAACCAAAAGATATATTTAAGTACAATATAGTAGAATAATAATAACAACAAAAAAAATCAAAATATGTACGTATAGTTATGCATTACAAAATACAGGCTGTTGACAATAAATGGAAAATCTGTATAAATAACTGCAGAGCTGTAAACACATTAGGGTTTTATTGTCTTTCTGGGAGCTCTGATGTTTTTAAAGTCTAACAGCTGCTGGGAGGAAGGATCTGTGTTGGCACTCTTTTGTGCATCTATGATGCAGCATCCTGTCACAGCAGGAGCTCTCCACTTCTTCAATTAGCTATACAGTAGAGTCTTACAAAAGCAGTTTTCTCTGAATAAGGAAAAAAAAATCTTTAAAGAAGCTATAGCTACTTTTAAGGCACTTTATTTCAGAGTTTAAGTCTGTGTTTTAGATTAGATTTTGAGGTGTACATGATTTAAAATTGTTTGACAAAAACAAGATTCGAAGCCAGCTTTGGCATCGCGATATTTTATGATTTGTGGAACATAAAGGTAATTGAAGCCAAGCACATCATTTTCATGCTAACATATTGCACAAATTTATGCAACATTTCATGAATTTGAGTCTAAATAAGTGTGAGTTTTTAATATTGAACTAAAGTGTGGAGGAACTTTTTAGTAACTCAGGAAATGGTCTTTCTTTCTAAAGAAAAAAAAGGCTTCAAACCCTCACACATTAGAGTTTTGACATTTCAGCTGCGAAAAAGAAATCTGAAAAACAGTTTAGAAAAAGCCATGGAAAGACATCTGTTCACCCAATCAGAGCCACATGTTGCAGCTGCGAGATCAGATGCAGTTCAGAGGATCTCAGGCATCTAAGACGTGTATGTCCCCGTTTAATTATTTCATACGCTGAGTTCAGTTTCTTCTGTCACAATTGCAAATTGGTCATCTGTCTTCCAAAGGTGGTAGCCATTTTTCATCGTTTCAGACTCTAAGTGATGATAAGCAGATTAGGGGCCGCTAATTAAATAATGAGAATGCTCATAAACATATCCGTAAATTAAAATATTAGCTGCAGAAATGGACAACAAAACAAAAATAAATCAAAGCCCAAATTAGACCCGTCTATTTCCCGTCATATTTTTGGCAACAACCACCTGTGGTCTCATTCTCAACATTCCACAGGATTTAAAAGGTCTTATGACAAACACATACCCCCATAACTTGGAGGCTCGGCTGCTATTCCAATAAAAACACAGTGCATGTGATCCCAAATAAGTTCACATCCACGTCGATGGGGTTCAGTAGAAAGGAGCGAATCCAGATGTTGCTTTTTACAGGATCTTTGCTTCGGCTGTCAGTTTTCAACTGGATTTATAGCCAGAGTACGTGTCAGAGATGCTGTAAACCTGAAGGGTATGCACATTATCAATTAATAGAATATTTAAGACTGTGGAAGAAAAATAAGTCTGCAAGGAATAATAGGTCTGCACCCCTCACAGCATGGAAGTGCAATTAATTGCACTTTCAGAGGAAGCAGGAGAGGTCACTCCATGGTGCAGAGCCTGCCCTTCACCAGGTTTTACTAAATTCAGATACGTAGTTTACATCGCTGCTTCTCAGATATAGGTTTGGACTGTTGATTCAGTCTTTGTTTCATCTCATCACATGCCCGTTTGGAGTGGAGATGCATCAAATAATCTGTCGGTAGCCATGAATTGTTAGTTTTTTCGGGTTACAGCAATAGCTGGCAACTCAGAAATTCCTTTAAAGCATAAACCCTCAGCACTACAAAGTGTGTGATCTTCAGTGTGGAAGCTGTTACTGCAAGGAGACTAAAGTCAGCAGTTATAGGTGTCACAAATGGGTTTAAGAATTAAGTATTTAAACAATTTTTATGGCTGTTGACTGTCGCTACCTAAATGAGCTCTAACAAACAGCACATCAACTGGAAAAATTATTTCGTCTAGTGCTTTAAAAATCCAAATAACTTTGATTCCATTTCATTTTCATTATTCAACTTTTACATGTTCACCGTAGTGAGTCACACTATTCTTTTTGTGATGCTGAGTAACTTTGTCAGATAAGATGGTTTTTTTTTACTATCTTGACTTTCTTGAACAAGATTTTTTTTTAAATCTTACCCATAAAGTTACTGGTTAAATAAAACTGAAATGGAAGAAATAAGATGGCTAGACTCCAGTGGGTGATGGGCATTTTGCTCGTTCTCCTTTTTGTACCTTTAACACTTCTGGTCTTTTTGTACCAACCTGACCAGAGATGAATTTATTTCAATTAATTAGAAGTTGATATAAGAAAGAATATAAACCTACCAGTTACTCAGCTTTGTCTTTTTTAAGCTTTAACACCCCATTTAAAATATTAATTGCTGCAATTGGAGGTTTTGGCAGTGGTTTGGAAATTGAAATTAAGTCATGAAACTCTGTTTCCATTTGTTCACAAATCGTAAATTCCTGTTATAAAGCAGCTGGTTTCCCACACGCACAGTGTGACGTCGCCTCTACTCACAGCAGTAAGGCTAAGAAAACCATTTTGAACGCAATTAGAATTCTTAAAGAGAAACTGGGATCTGCTACAA